CAAAATGGAATTGATAGAAACTGCAAAACACAGCTTTTACAGCATACCTCTAACACAGTCGCCTTCAATGGCAATGCATAGAGATCCACTTTCATCCTTTGACCTTGAGCTTTCAACTTTACACCCTTAAATAGAATATCTCCTCGGAGTGTTTCCCCGTTTGCAACCTTGACTCCAAAAGGTTTTACCTTGGTGAAAGGAATCTCGACTTCTTTAGACAACTCCTCATCAATGAAGTTTAGCGTAGATCCGCTATCAACCAATACTTCCACCAATTTTCCTCTCACTTCAGCCGTGAATGTGATCATCTTCGGACCACGCTTCTTGCTTTTAACCATATGTAATAAGGACTCTTCTCGTGGTTCTTCTTCTTCATCAAATTCCAACAAAAAGACCTCCTTACCTTTGCACGTGTGGCCTGGCGTAAACTTTTCGTTGCACGAATAGCAAAGGCCTTTTTCTCGCCGTCGTTGCATCTCTTCGTCGGTAAGCCGCCGTATGTTGCTCGATGTTCGAACAGTCTCGCCCATCGGCTTGTTTTCTGTTCGCCCTGCCAGTTCCTCGGTCGCCGCGTTTGTGCGCTTGGTCTCCGTGCGCACGTCGCTCGGCTTTGCCTTGCGTACCGCCACAAGATGTTCTTCGTGCAATCTAGCCGACTCAACGGCTGCTCGCATCGAGCCTGGCCTGTCCAACCTCACTTCGGCTGCCAGTTCAGCTTTAAGTCCTCCAACGAACGTTCCCACTAGTGCAGCCTCGGGCCAATCCCGTACTCTACTAGCAATGCGTTCGAACTCTTTTTGATAATCCCTTAGACTACCTACTTGTTTGATTCTTGACAAAGCCTCGTTGTAATCGTGGTAGTCACTCGAGCCAAACCTCGTGATGAGCTCTTTTTCAAAATTTCTCCATCGCATGTGCTCGCCATGGTTTTTGTGCACCACCCATTGCCACCAAACATTTGCTTCCCCATCAAGGTGATAGGCAGCAATTTGAACTCGTTTGTACCTTGGCACATCATTGGTCTCAAAGAATTGCACAGCCCGACTTAACCATGCATCCAGATCTGTTCCCGTGAACGTGGGCATAATAATTTTTGGCCGTGTGCCCGCCCTGTCGTCCCGTGGATCGTCGCGATCGTGATATCAGGCACGTCCCTCGTCCCGTCGTTCATGGCGTCATCGGCCCTCGTTGTAGCGCTCTCGGTCATCGCGTCGTGCTCGGCGCTCATCGCGTGAGACCCGCGATGCGTACGATGCGTACGACGCGTACGACTGTCGGTCGTCATCTTCTTCGCGCCTACGGACGTGATGTGCACGTCCATCGTGTCGTTGTCGGCCGTCGCGATGGTGATCTGCGTGTGATGCGTGTGAGCCCCGCGATCGGCGATCGTCCTCTCGCTCGGTCCCGGTGCTTTCTGCCGTGGACCGCGACCCGTGTCGTCTCCTTGGCCGCATGTTCATGCGCGTTAGTTGCCCGGCCAAGTCCTGGACCATTAGTTCGATCCTTCCCAAGTTCTCGTTGGTAGCATGTTGACCATCGCCGATGATCTTCATGTTGTCCTCCAAGGCTTGAATCCTCTCACGGTTCGACATCATAAAATATATATATATTTTTTTTTTACTCTAAAAAAAATCGAAACAAAGAAGAAATTCGGCCCCTCAACAAAAGGTAATAACCGAACAAAAATCAAACAAAGGACTAACAAGATGACACTTTTTTTTTTTACTCAAATTCGAAAAAATAAAGGGAAAATTCGAACAATAAGATTCGAATCCCAACAAAAATAAAGAGAAATTCGGCCCCTCAACAAAAGGCAAACCGAAAAAAATAAAAAGATAAGATAGAAAAAAAATCGATAAGCACCTCTCAATGAAAGCACCAATGATGACGGATCGAATTTCTGTCTATACTCGGTTGTGAACAAACGGCGCACTCAGGGCCTTCGTTTATCCACGATAGGTGTATCTAA